CTGGTTGATTTGAACCTTTCAGCTGTACTCCATACCTGTTACCGATGAATGATTTCCCATGGCAGGCTTTTCTAATACTTTCTTCAACGCCAGTAAAATTACAAAGATAACAGCATCACTGCTTTTTTAGAGAAACTCCATAGAGTTTTTTTTCTTTTTTAAAAAAGTTACTGTATAACTTCATCCTGTTATTTACCCTAGGAGCCTGACAACTTGGACACAAGATTGATGATACCATGACGAAGATAAAATATTATAGCTGCTCCAAAAGAAGAATTAAATCCCACTCAAAAAAAAAAAAGAAAATGTTAATACTGAAAAAGACTTTGTTACAGTGAATCCTCCAAAATAGCATTTGTCTTTGGCATATGAGCAGGCTTAAAATGTTTTAGAGTTGCTGTGCTTTTTATTTACTCTTCTTTAACAATAACATGCTAGCTGTTTTATAGAAGTATCAGGGGCTTTCAAACAATTTGATGATTAGAAATGCACATTTTTTTCCCCAATCTTAATTATTTCATGTGCTTTTTGATATCCATCATGCAAACCCATCAAGATAAGCACCAAAACTTGGGCAGAAACAATGGCTACAGATGTATAATTTTGGGTTGGCATTATATTTTTTTCTGTGCCTACTTTCAACTAAACATGGATGCAGTTATGTCCTATAAACATCAATTAATCGTGATCAGTACGCAGAACTACCCCAAATAAGTAAAAAGCATCTCTATATGGTGTGCTGTGTTCAGCATTTTCACACCATTGACTGTCTTCAATAAATTTAGAGCCACATAGAAGAGGAAAACTTTCAGGTTTCACGGTGAAGGCGGGAGAGGTGCATTAATGCGCTGAGGAGGCAAAAGTCGAGGGAACAGTTTGAGAGGGGAATAGAGAGAGGCACGAGGCTAGGAAGCTGAAAAACGGTAATGGTTAAATCAAGATGCACGAAGGACGCCCCAACACGGGGATCCTAGTCTGGGCATCAATTCTCTGACCAACAGAAAACGTCCACTAGAGCGTGGCTCCGTGTTCGCCTACGCCCCAGCCTGAGACCTCCCACAGCCCAAACTTGCTTAAACCCCCAAATTTCGTGTTCGTCTTA